GAATGGGATTTCCCTTTCCAAATGCCTCTAGGATGGTTTGGAATGGGATTTCCCACCCTGGGATGGATTGGGAATGGGATTTCCCTTTCCAGCTGCCTCTGGGATGGGTTGGGAATGGGATTTCCCACCCTGGGATGGGTTAGGAATGGGAATTCCCTTTCCAGCTGCCCCTGGGATGGGTTAGGAATGGGAATTCCCTTCCCAGCTGCCCCTGGGATGAGTTGGGAATTGGATTTCCCACCCTGGGATGCGTTGGGAGTGGGATTTCCCACCCTGGGATGGGTTAGGAATGGGATTTCCCTTTCCAGCTGCCCCTGGGATGGGTTGGGAATGGGATTTCCCTTTCCAGCTGCCCCCGGGATGGGTTAGGAATGGGAATTCCCTTTCCAGCTGCCCCCGGGATGGGTTAGGAATGGGAATTCCCTTTCCAGCTGCCCCCAGGATGGGTTAGGAATGGGAATTCCCTTTCCAGCTGCCCCCGGGATGAGCTGCTGTTACCTTGGTGCTCCGTGCCATCGACCGGCGAGCACCTTTCCCATCCCCGTGGGCTTCAGGCTGGCAATCCCTAATTTCAGCCGTCTCCGGCCGCTAACCCCTCCTCTCCCTCCGGAATCCTCGTGTCCCCGCAGGTTACCCCTCCCCTCTGGGGGGCTCCGAGCACGCCTCCAGCCCGGTGCCGTCCAACGGCCCCTCCGGCGGCTCGGCCGGCGGCTCCGGCGCGGCGCTGGACGGCTCCGGCTCCGACTCGCCGGCGCTGGGCCGCGGCCCGTCGCCCTTCAACGCCGCGCAGCTGCACCAGCTCCGTGCCCAAATCATGGCCTACAAGCTGCTGGCGCGGGGGCAGCCGCTGCCCGAGCACCTCCAGGTGGCCGTGCAGGGCAAGCGGCCGCTGCCGGGGATGCAGCCGCAGATCCCCGCTCTACCTCCGCCCGCCGGCGCCGCGCAGGGCCCGGGGCCAGCGCCCGGAGCGGGGCCGGCGCCGCCCGGCTACTCCAGACCTCACGGTGAGGATGGGCTGGGAACGGCGGGAGCGAGCTGGGGATGTGTCCTGGGGGTCTGAGGGGACAGCGTCCTTGTTGTGTCCTGGGATCTGGGGGGATTTTGTCCTTGTTGTGTCCTGGGATCCGAGGGGAGATGGTCCTTGTTGTGTCCTGGGATTCGAGGGGAGATCGTCCCTTTGCATCCTGGGATCTGTGGGGAGATTGTCCTTGTAGTGTCCTGGGATCCGAGGGGAGATCGTCCCTTTTCGTCCTGGGATCCGAGGGGAGATCGTCCTTGTTGTGTCCTGGGATCTGTGGGGAGATTGTCCTTGTTGTGTCCTGGGATCCGAGGGGATTTTGTCCTCGTTGTGTCCTGGGATCCGAGGGGAGTTTGTCCTGTTCCTTTCTGGGATCTGAGGGGAGATCGTCCTTGTTGTGTCCTGGCATCCGAGGGGATAGTGTCCTTGTGTCCTGGATCCAGGGGATAGGGTCCTTGTGTCCTGGGATCTGTGGGGAGATGGTCCCTTTTCATCCTGGGATCTGTGGGGAGATCGTCCCTTTTCATCCTGGGATCTGTGGGGAGATCGTCCTTGTTGTGTCCTGGGATCCGAGGGGATAGTGTCCTTGTGTCCTGGGATCCGAGGGGAGATCGTCCTTGTTGT